TGCTAACTTAATTGGCTGGCTTGCTTACAAACCAACGGCCTCGGCCTTGGAAGTACTCCGTGCTCTGGTATGGCCTGTGCTGGATGGATAATATACAAATACGCCGTAGATACGAGTGGGTATGCTGTGACGGCCACCTGCCCCTCAGCTGTTGGATGAATGGATGGACACTAGATAGAGTAGAGGATATCATTCATGTCTTTCTCCCCAAGACTTCTCTTCGTCTACGTGCAACTAAAGGGGAGATTTAATTGTGAGGGCACTGGGGCAAAAGGAGCTCGATTACACCAGCGGCCCCCAAACAAATGGACACAGGAGGCGTGTGCCATGGTCAGCGCCACCGCCAACCTCTCGCAAATGTTTCGGATAATGAATCCAGGGAGATTTGAAAGTAGTAGCTTTTCCAACCAAGGACCCAAGAGATGTTATGGACGAGTAGCTGATATAAATCGTGCAAACAGAGCAAACCTTCCCTTATGATCATGTGACCTTTACTACATGGATACATCCAGCCTGGACATGTTGATATCTTTGATAGTAGGTGCCTCCATGCGCATGCTGTCGGCACTTTTGGGGGGGAATTCCTTCTTGTCGCGCCTTTCTCAGCATTTTTGGATCTAGGTTGCTAATCAGTAAGAAGTAAGCCCTGAGCGCTTTCTTGGAAGTCAACCAACTACTGACTGAGCATTGGTAAAGGCACAAAAACTCTCACACACACAAGAAGTCGAAAGGGAATAAGAAGAGCGATTGTTATTTAATCACTTTCTTCACCCATGGAGAAGATACATGCTCGGGCTGTTGAAGCTCTTGAGCGTTTCATTCACCTGGCAAATGCTTCATCGAATACCCCACGCGACATCACCGACATCATCACGAATGCCACCTCGTCCCCAAACACATTCATATTCGCAGAACTCCTCGAAGTTCCAGCTATTCAATCATTGCGCTCTCCAGACACTCCGGCTGAATACCGGAATCATCTCACGCTTCTAGAGATCTTCGCTTGGGGAACATGGGAAGAATATCAATGTAAGTCATGCGGCTCCCAAGCGTCACAAGGAACATTGAAATTGATACAATTGAAAAATAAAAAAAATTAAACAATACAATAGCTACTCCAAACCTTCCTCAACTCAATGACAAACAAACCGAGAAGCTCCGCCTCCTTTCCCTCCTCACTCTCTCCACATCCCACAACCCCCTCACTTACGCCATTGCCATGAAAGCCCTCTCGCTCCCCAACCACGCAGCTCTCGAATCCCTGGTCACGAAAGCCATCTACTCCTCCCTGATAACCGCGCGCATCTCTCCAGCCACGAACCCCGCATTCATCCACGTAACATCGACCGCACCCCTCCGCGACGTACAGCCCCAATCCATCGCCCCCATGATATCGATCTTGACAGAATGGCAAGCCCGATGCAGTGATGTAGTGAGCGGCATAGAAACGGAGATCGCGAAGATAAAATCCGACGCTGAAAAACGGAGAGCGAGGGAGAAGGATCGGGCCTCTCGCGTTGAGCGCAGTGTTGCTGGTTGGGATGGTGATGGTGATGAGGACGACGGGGCGGGGCCGGGAGCGGGAGCGGGAGCAGGCTCAAGCTCTGGATCCGGCGCGGGGTCTAAGCATTCGTTGTCGTTCTCCGGCGGTGGTCGCGGGCCCAGTCTTCGCTCGCATTTTTCTGCAATGGCGGGTGGTGGTGGTAGTGGGAGTAAACGCGAGCTCAATGATTGTGGTGTCGACAGTAGGTATCGAGGCTTTGGGCGCATGGATGTGGATGGGCCGGGCATGGGTGCTAATGGAGGTCTTGGTGGCATGGGCGAAACGACACGTCATGCGAAACGCCGTTTGGCTTTGGGAAGCCGATAAATTGGCTGTTTAGCTTTTCTTCTTTCTTTTTTTGACCTTCAATGAGACCTACGGTATTATGAAAGCTTCCTGCTTCCGGTACCCCTTATCAAGGCGTGCAATTTACGATGTAGTGAGGAGGTTTAGAGATATACAACCATACTCGATATCACGAAGGTGCTCTCGATCTATTGATGACAGAGGATTAGGAACTTTATTTATTATTTACTTTGTTCTAGAGCATGTTCCAGAACATGTGGCACGATACATACTACTTTAGACATTCGCCAAGGGCTCTTTTTCCTAATTTGGACACTGTAAACATAAAAGGGAAAAAAAGG